ACACACACAAATAAAAAAAACAAACACACACACACACACACACACACACACACACACACATATATATATATATATATATATATATATATATATATATATATATATATATATATATATATAATATAAATTTTGAAAGTGTTATTATTATTATTATTATTATTATTTTATTTACTCTTATGGCTAAATCTATACAAAATGTTGACTAAATTAAAACTCTGTCTTTTTAATGAGTTCAATATATAATACAATAATTAACGGCAAGAAGCAAGTATATGAAACAAAATAATCAATAAAACAACAATGTATAATTATTATGTAAAACATAATAGCTGAATTACTTTGCAGTTCCATTCAAATAATACATCAATATCAAGTAAACGTTTGCTTTTCTCACAATTATACAACACTATTTCAAAGTTAAGATGTTGACCAAATGAAACTTTTAACTAAATCACTTTGGCAATAAATGCTTTGTAAAATATTATTAATAGGAATGATGATTCATTTCCTTTGGCTCAGTCCATTTATTCATCAGGGGTTGCCACAGCGGAATGAACCACCAAGAATGATGATATGAAATAAAAATTCAATAAACAGTAAATAATATACTAATCGTGTAACATGGATTAGTTCAGGTTAATTTCAGTTGCGTTCACATTCACTACATTATCATTTAACATGGATCTAGATTTTTTTAATCTTTGCCAGCTGCAGCTATGTATGATTTCAGTGTAAAATTGATCAAAATCAAAAGTATTTTTGTAATTTTGGCTAAACTAACTTTCCACAAAAAACAGAACTCACAAGAACACATTGATTGCGGCTTAAAGCACACATGAAATCAATACTAAGCATATTGATTTGGTCCAAAGATGATTCCTTGGATTCACTCATTTTTTTTTACGTTAGTGGTTGTAAACAAATATATTTGGGCTAAATTTAAACAAACAAATTAAGTTGAACATTATTATTATTATATTTAATTTGTTTGATAAATTCAACACAAATAAATTGTGTGCAACAGTTCTGCATGCAACACTTTTTTCAGTGTCTGAGGTATTGGGCGGGGCTAACATACTTAACCACGCCCCCTCCAGCTGTCAGTTTTGGCAACAAACAGAAATAGTGTGGAAGAGGAGTCTGTTAGGTTGTAATATCTCCTCCCAAACCCTTTTCCCTATCTTTGTGAATAAAAACGCCTATTTTACATCATCCAATCAGCTCGCAGTAGAAGAAAACAAGCCACGCCTACTGTTTTGTCATTTAATATTCCATTTCTCTAAGAAATGCGTCAAACTATGAAAAAAAAATGGTTGCAGCTTCCAGTTGATGCAGATTTTAATTCTCATGCTGTCTGTTGATTTTGCAGGACTACACCATCACCATGTATTTCCAACAGAGCTGGAGGGACAAGCGCTTGGCCTACGCCGAGATGGCGTTGAACCTGACTTTGGACAACCGTGTGGCGGATCAGTTGTGGCTCCCGGATACTTATTTCCTGAACGACAAGAAGAGTTTCTTGCACGGAGTGACGGTGAAAAACCGGATGATCCGCCTCCATCCGGACGGCACAGTTCTGTACGGACTGAGGTAAATGCCATCATTAATGCTGTGCTGGATAATGTACAGGGGTGTATTCCAGAAATCAACTGACTTACACCTTACTACATACAACCTTAACCATCTGCAATGTCGATGTGCAGAATATCTATTTTAGAAATGCTTTCTATTTCTGTGATGTCACAGCAGAACAACAGCATAAACTACTATGGCAATGATCACCTCAGGTACTGATTATGTGCGTTATTCAGTGTTAAGTGCTCCCAGTGTGAGTTTAAATAGCACTGTATGCAGTGTGCGAATTATACATGGACGATTGGGGGGTCAACTTAGTTACTTAGTTTGTGTAATACATGCTTCAGTGAATGTATTTATTTAAAGGGCCATGAAACCCCCTCGTTTCAGCAGGGTGTTTTCACACCTCTACTTTGGAAAAAGTCAGAAAAGTGGGCGTGTCCAGCTCTGTTTAGGGGGGAGTGTCGGAGGAAGAAAAGAGGCTTGGTGTGGGAGTGTCTATTTTGGCGCGCTGACTTTAAGAGTCAAAACACACAACCACAGCAGACAAAGTGACTGTGTTTACATGGACATCTGTAGTCAAATTATTTGCCAAATTATTAAATGGTGAACTTTAACTGCAGTTTGGCTCTTTCATTCAGGGAATTCAGTCATGCCCCTCGCGACAAACGTGATATTTGATTCGAGGAGCTGCTCTAAGCGTGTATTTTCATGCAATGTTTGATACCGCACGGCGAATGAGAGAAAAAAAACTCAGCATTTCCCGGAAACTTAGATGCACATAGCAGGTAGCGTCAGAAAGCCGCGTGTGTTATTCCGGTCACTAAATCCAACATGAGTTTATAGTTTGGTTGTAGCGCTAACTTGTTTACACTCGGTGCAATAGTTTGTTTGATACGAATAAAATACGAACTGAATAAACAAAGAGCACTGGTCGCTCACTTACCAGATCTGTAGAGACAGGACAATCACCAGCAACTAGAGCCGCGTCTTTAGAGCAACTAGAGCCGCGAGGAGACTACAAGTGAATCCGGATCTCAGCGTTTGCAGATGAGAACAGCTCTCAGGTAAACAATAAACCTCCTTAGACACGTAAGTTATTGCTGTCGAGCGTCGCGTACACTGTTAATCCTCACGTGACTCCAG